TACGTTTACAAAGACAGTCGTGCGCGCTTCAGCTCATAATTAGAACTGAATCACAGATAACGATCGAAAGGAACGACGCGACGCGACGGTAGGAACCAAACGGTAATCGGCTATTCGACTTTAAGCCCAGTCGGGCATTAATTAACGAGTCGCAGCTATTCGAGTCGAGGAGCCGAATGCGCGGACCGAAACTTTACAATTAAAATCTAAAGCGGAACCTTTAGCTCTCGGTCGAAACTATAATCTTGAGAGGACTATGCTCAATCACTCGGTCAACCTATTATTATATCCCGGGGCCATAACTTAGTCCTGCTTTCATGAACACCTATTATAGCGTTGCTATACTGAATGTCCCAATTCCGTCGCGCGACCTGTCGAATGCATGATTGACCGAGAAGATGTAATTGTTTCAAAAGCAAGACTAATAATGCAGCTTCTACTAATTAAACTTTCAAATGATTAGCGAAACAGGTCTCGAGGGATTAAATAGATCATAGATCATATAGATTATAGGTCATCTTTCGATGAAAACGGAGTTCATTCCTTTATTACGAGAACCGCAACGGGCGCTTAATGCATTCGGCTACAATTACCATTCACCGTCACACGTTATTTTCATCGTATACCAGTGGGCGTAAGCAGTGAGATATCCGTCCGTTCGCGATCAATGACGGAGAACATTTGACATCCGGTACGCCTGACGTGACTGACGAAAAGCTCGTGGCCGAATATCGCGTCACCTGGGGAAGTAAAAGGGTTAATGCCCGCGGCGGCGCGTATCACGCGTAAACCGGGAGAGCCTGGAGAGGCGCCGTTATCTCTCTCGCATCGTGACGATTCGAGCTTTCCGGCATAGTTGCAGGCTGTTATCCGTCATCTTAATGCATAGCCGGAACACCGAGCGACGCACCGCTGGCTTATAAACGGCGCGATTATTCCGCCCTATTCCTATCCATCGGGCTCCCCCATCTTCGTATGACCAACACCACGTCGTCGTCCCCACGTAAGCAATGTCGGCCGTGGACGGGTCCGCGTGGTCTCTATATAAATGCATCGATTTGAATTTCATGTCGGGGCGAGCCCCGGCGAAGGATGAATAGTTTTCAATACCTTTCCTCTTGTCGATCCTTCGCGATTCCAGTACGCCGTTCATCGCGTATAAATCTTCCCTCGCTCTCGCAGATGCTCGCTATTCTTCGAATTTCGTAGTAACTGTGTTTCCGCGAGGAGCTGCACGCTAATATATATGTAACTTATTTGAAAATATATATATTTGAACGATTGATTTAACAATTGATCGTTGAGAAAAGCTCTATCTACACAATACAACTTGTGGACCAAGAATGATGACTATTATTATGCTAATGTTTTATATGATCGACAATTAGAAGCCAAATAACCTCTATCGTCCCTTAATTAAACAGCCCTCAATTAATTCTCGATTGATGGAATGTAATTCAAACGTTGTGGAAGCCACAGTGCGAATGGCAGATCAGTACTCAATTGCAATTCGGGCAGCCTCGTGCATGAAACACAGTTGTTACAATATTGCTTCTAATTGATCAAAAAAATAAAAGATTTGCAAAATAATAATATTTATAGAAAAAAAATGCTATGTATGTAACGATAGAATTTCTTGTATGTAAAAATAATTTACAATTAGATTAAGATACAATGTTAAGTGCCAGACATTATTGTTATGATACGAATAGCCAATTCAATATTTATTTGTACGTAATAACTGCATGTCATTTTTAAATCCAAAAGATATAAAATATTATACTAAAAGCAACACCGCAAATGATCATAATGATATCATAAATATCGTTACGCGAATGTAATGCGTAATAAGCGCGTTTGGTATAAAATTAAACATGTAATGAGCTTATGCCCCAAATATCAAGCTTGTGGCTTTCATACATACATCTTACATGCCGCGGACATTAACGAGCTCTTCAAATTGTGTAATTAAATTGAGTAATTAAATCGTATAATATACTTACAAATAAAATTTATTTATATTTTATATTTATGTATACAAGGTGTCCCATTTTAAATAATGCATTTTAATATCTCTTCTGTAACTCGTCATAAACAAAAATGCTTCAGACAAAAGTTATTTGGTTTGAAGGGGGACACATGATTCTGATGTAAGTCAAAAATGTCGTAGATGTTTTCATCGTTTTCAAAAAATTTCAAAGGCGACTAATTTCTTAAATAAAACTTGATTTTTTCCTTGAGATAAAAGTTATAGATCTTGTCGAGACATTTTCAAAACATTATAATAAAGCTCTCCTTCGTTAAGAATTTCCTGAGATATTTTAAATTTTGTCATAATATTTTTCACGAAAAAGAGCTTCATTATAGTGTTTTGGAAACGTCTCGACGAGATCTGCAACTTTCACCCCAAAAGAATCATATTTTGTTAAGGGTGTCCTCCGATGCATCATTGAGAAGTTATGCGCCCTTGTTCGATCACCTGAATGGAGTACGTCACTCCAGTCAACACTAGGGAGGAGTTAATTGAAAGGATCATGGGAGCTTTTGATCAAATCAGGAACAATATTGAAATGTTCCAAGCAGTAAGAAATGCAATGCTACACAGATATGATAAATGTAATCAAGTCTGCAAGGCAGACACTTTGAGCATCTCCTGTAATAAGATATACAAATAAAATTTAAAAAATCAACAAAAAATTGTTAGACATCACGCGCAATACTATCGTGGAAATTGCTTACTTCACCAGGCGATACGAATAAAAATAAAAAAAAGATTTTTAAAATTAATTTTTATATATAAGATATAAATACATTTTATATGTATTCTTGTATAAGACTTCACAGTTAGAATGTAGTAAAAGTGTAGTAAAAATAATCTAATGTGCCAAGTGCTTTCAACAAGACTTTGTCAAAGCATTCTTTTTCGTCAACATTTTTCAGCAATTATAATTCATTGGTGCAGCTAACATAAATAGCATTTAATGTAAACAAAGTAGCCGAGCACTTTCATTACAGTTCACAAAGTTAATGCCCTATTGTTTGAGACGCTTTTTCGTTTACACTGCAACGGCACCCTTTTCTGCGCGACTTTCTTATTGGTCGCGCTTTCCTACTGTCTCGAATACCAAACAAATATATGCTCAGAAAAATCTCTCGCACACCAGCTTATTTATAACCTAACTTCGCGCGCGCACACCAACCAGAAAACGAATAAAAATGTAACCATTTATTCTAATGAGAGTTTATGCGCGAACTTTGCATGACAGTTGCAGCAAATTCGTGAAAAGCTAGAGCTGTGCGTATGTGTTGAGAAAAATCTGCGTGATTATTTTGGGCGCACTTATTTGACGAACAGAATTTTGCATCGATACAAAATCAATTTACGGTTATGAGGCAAAAATAGATATTTGTTATCTTAATGCAAAAAATTTGCATTAGAATTTTTGTCGGTATTATTCGATTAATATCATTAATCATTCGAGTATATATTTACAGTTCTATTACATATTAATCGGGGACAGAGGAAAGGCTGATGAGCAACCGATCCCTCAAGTCGGGAACTTTATCAAATTCCTCCTTGAGACGCCGTTCTTCCTTCACGCGGTTTTCATTCCCTAATTAGTACTTCGCGAAAGCCATTACCTACATAACATTGTCACTAAACCCACTTTAGCTGACGACAGCTGAACCGGAATTGCGAATAAAGACCGAATAAGATCGTTCCAGCTTGTACCCCGATGAGTATTCATTTTTATACCTCTCTACGTAATTTTACTAATTAATTAACTAATTGCTTCGGCTACGCAGAAGGATTCTTCAGGCCGCCGTCTGAAGTGCGGCGGCGTAAAGAGCGCCGGGGAGAGATAGAAATTCATTAAATTTTTTTTCGTGGTTTGCCAACGAGGTCAATGGGTTAAACAACTCGACCCATTGTATAGTTATTCCCGGATTCTCTTTTATTCCAGAATATTTCTATGAGTGATGGTTTTAATCTCGTAATATATCGTATCTCTTATATGCTATAAAATCTGCTAGTACCAACGACATGTAAAATTAATAGTATAACACACTAATTATACAACTATTGAGATTATTATAAATTATTTTATTGTAATTTTAGACGCATTAATGTAATTATATATGTAAAATATACAGCTTCTTATTTTATTCTTATTTTATTATTCTCAACCTGATCTGACATGACGGAACTATCTCAGACAATATATAAAAATAATGAAAATATGAAAGATATATTGTCGGTTATACGTATAACGACGGTGTATTTGCATTATTTTAAGATTTTGACCGCTACTTCCTAACATGCATCGGTAATACTTTTGCATTAATATTGCAAAACTGTCGCGTCACTTAAAGTGACTTAGCGCCATTTAGATACTTCTTATCACGAGGGGGGCATTCGCGGTAACTGTGAAATGGCCGCGCGGAATTTCGCAGCCAGTTCCTAACTACTTATTCATGAATTATTCTCATAAGTACGCTATAAAAACACATTTTATGATCCCTCAAAGCAAAACTTGAGGTATAAGAATACATCATGGCTGATAAATAGATTGTCTGATAAACAGTTTAAAACGTTAAACAGTAACACTGCGATGAAAAAAGATGTTATTATTATTTCCTAATTTATAGATATTTGTATCTCGATTTCTAAAAATGAAATACTATTAAAATTGAAATATTTATTAAGGTTTTTATGGCAAGCGTGTTGATTCATTTATAAGAAAAATAAATTGGATCAAAGTAGAATTAATTTCTTGTTAATAAGAATCTAGATTTATTATAAAAAAAGCTTTAACTACATATATGTGTATTTAATGTTAATTATATAAACAATATGAAAAAGAGAAATGGTTTTTAGAGAATTTTGTTAAATGCGGCAAAAATATTGCGGCAGGTTTAATTGGCACATTGATAATGTGACACACTTTAATGAAGAGTTGATTAGCGCTTAAACGTATACGTATAAAAATTCGAATTACCTTGTATCCGGCGAGATCCTGAACTACACAGGAGAGAATGGCTTCCCTTCCCACCGGCGCAGTTACATTGGTTATTGGCTCTTTGAATTTAGGATCTAAAAGGAAAGATAAAATTGCATTGTTGTAAAGAAGTTTGTATAATCGACGCATCATGATAAAAGAATTTGTTTACCCTCAAAATAATCAAATGAAATAATATAAATATTTGAAAATACTTCAAACATGTCGGTACATTAATTATGTATATTAATTAATTACAAATATACACTGTTTCTATAAATAGTGCGTCGTTTTTATAAATATCGATGACATTTTATTTGGATTTGCCTAGATTTTCTATTTAAAACGAGTAAACTGATCTATTTATTTACTGTTTAAGTTAAAAATTCAAATTAAATAAATTATCTTACTATTGATTAACATCAAAGTTAAATATATTTGTTGCTGTCGTTGCTTTATTATAAATAATTTCTATTAGAAAAGATAATTTTATTATCTTACTTATTTGAAATACTTCTTATACTCAGAAAACATTTAATTAAGTTAACTTTTAAGTGATGCTATTGTCACATTTGGCCTTATTTCTTTAAATATCTATTTATTTATGTTTGATTTAAAAATTCAAATTAAATAAATTCCCTCGCTTATTGATTAACATCAAAGTTAAATATATTTCATGCTTCATTAAACAGATTCAATTAAAAAGGATAATTTTGTTATATTACCTTTCTTGTTTGAGAAAAATACCTCTTATATTCAGGAAACATTCAATTAAATTAACTTTTAAATGACGCTATTTGTCACATTTAGCTTTATTTTACTTTAACGTTTTTCAATGTTTATTGTTATTATATATACGATTAAAACGTAGATATACATACAATTTGAACAAAACATTGTATCAATAGTGAAGACGCTAATATTATATGGTAGACGCGCGGAAAAATTATATCCAGTGATATAAAATATGATATGGGGCGGCAAAAGGGCGTCGGGCAGAAAAATTGCCAGCAGCACAGCGTGAAAGATAAATGCGCGTTTGGATTGCCCGTTACAGATTTATTTCCCAGCAATTTAATGCGATATTATTGGACGCACTCGATGTGGCGCGCAATGCGATCAGTTTGTGCGCGCCCCGGCTATATCCGCCTATATCAATAAGGAGTGAATATCGTCGAGTTGCGAATCATAATATGACTGTTGGAACGTGGAATAAGGAAGACAGATGTCGTGTTTGCGGAAACGAGACGAGCAACGGAGGCTGGGCGCAAGCCCGAGATGCAAGTTAGTCATAGACAATTTGGTAACGTTTTGGACGTTAGCTAGCCGACCTCCTGTCAAACGGACATTGACCACCTACTATTGACCATTTGTAATCGAACGTAAGCATATACGCGCGTAGAATACAATCCGCAATGTACAGTTTATGACAATGACCTACACAAATTTCAATTACGAGTCTTGTGTGAACCGGACCACGTGTTATATCAATAAGAATTTCCGCAGTGCGATAACGCACGAAATTGAATTCGATGGCAAATTGTATAAAGTACAAATTGATTTTTATTCGGATCGATAAGTTTTATTATATCATCGTTATTGAAGCGAAATAAATTGGTTAACTTGAATGTACGCGTGTAATCGCGGGGAAAAAAATTAAATTAAATTTGTCGGCGCCGGTGTATCTTTAACCAAATGTGAAATGTACGTAACGGGAAAGAGGTAGGTGCACGGCGCGCAAAAAGAGCGATCAGCGTAAATGTATTCGATTAAAATTCGACAAAGTGTACGGTATTTCAGTACGTGTGTACATCCCATATGTCGCTCTTCCGGCAATAGATTGTAAATAAAATACAAGCTCCTGTGCCGTCACAAAAGTGTCATCTGTTTTTCCGTTGACGATAACGCGTAAATGTCAGCATCGATCACCGGCCAAGGATATCCCCGACCGCCGGTATCGCCGATACGAAATTATTCTGGCGACTGCATTACGATATTGTCCATCAAATCTCGCTCTGGTCAACGCGCAAACGGCGCGGGCGAGCGCGCCCACCGCGCTCGCGTGGTTCAACGAACGGCCAACGTGGCTTCTGCCACGAGAGCGAGAGACCCATTAAAAGGTCAACATCCATCAAGGGCCAAAAATGCCCCACGGAGATTGTTTGCGAGGGCCGTGAAGCGGAGCGGGGAAGCGCGAGCGGGGGGTGTAAAACCGGCGCGAACATAATCGTTAGATGGCTCCGTAATGGGAGCATAAGGGAACTATAATTCCGATGGAGAGAGAGAGAGAGAGTTTCTCGTCCATCGACGGCCCACGAGCCCGTGGTGTGGCCCTCACGGGAAATTCGGCCGACGCGGCGCTAGGAACCTTCGCTTCGGCGCGGGCATTGATGGATCGGACTTACCCGCAGAATGGCCGTCCCGGGGTCCGAAGTGTTCCGGCGAGAACTGCGAGGAGAGAGCGAACCCGGCGAGCGAATCCTTTTTTCTGGTGAACAAGAAGAGCGCGGCGCGGCGGAACGGCTTCTGAATGACATACGACTCTCACCGTCCGTCCCGTACTCTTTATTCGCGAGAATGTGCGAGAGGATAGGCGCGCGGGTTCGACTTTCACCCGCATCAGACCTCTTCATCCGCGTGATCAATTGGATGAAATTGCGCGGACCGAAAGAGGAGACCACAACAAAAAACGAGTATGCATATGACGGATCGTTTTCTAAGCGTAGACGGAATATACTATCGTGTGTTCTTATACTCCGGGAAACAACTCGCTGTTTAATCAAGAAGCTCTCGGCTAAGAGCGAAGTAACTAATAGCCGCGAACACAGAGAATGTAATCGATCGTCCCGGAGAAGACGGCGACAGTAAACGCGATTTATTCTTGCGTTTTAAGATTCGCAGTGTAATCGAAGTATGGAAAAACCTGCGGGGTTTCGCTTCATCATATTTAACTTCGTCGCGATTTATCCTCAGGTTTGCGTTATATAAAATCGTGCACTCTATTTACGACGTTCATTGTATTTGCATCAAACGATAACGTAATTGCAACGACTTGGAGTAAACGCTACCACCGCTGTAAATGTCACCAAAAGCATTATCCGCGATATTTTTCCCCGATTAACTTTGGAGCTAAGACAAAAAATGCGTTCCCCGACATCGACGATTCAGAAGTAACGTGGGCCTGCATTTTTCACGATCCTTACCCGCGCTACTTCCCGCATATTGTCGCCCGGCATGGCATTTTAAGTTATAGCCGGCGAAGCGTATGTAAGTAATCCAATAGTCGGGCATTTCGAAAAAAAAGGCGAGCAAGAAGAGTGGCGAGCACGCGAGAGTTAGGGCACGAGTGGGTGGAGGGCGATAAAAAATATCACGAGCGTGTTCGCCGATGCACATCGTCACTAATGCACTTTATGGGACGAACGTCAAAATATCAACGTCCGGATTTCGAGCACGAGAACCGGCTGCATTAAAAAGAAAAAAAAAATTCCGGTCGTTCCCGCGACACTCACGATTCGAAATAAGTTTTCATTTATGATCTCATTCATATCTGTATACGACCGCTGACACAATTCGGGAAAATAGTATAAGCGCGTATATCATTGCGAGAGAAATATGTTTTCGATACGCGCGGGTGGTATAGAAATGATATATGACGTACAATAAAACGACGTATAATTAATAAAAGCCAGAGACTAAAGATAGAAGGTAAAGGGTTAAGGCTTCTCGTTATCAGCAAAGTGATATTTATGTAATTAATCTCCTAGCGGTATCTTCACCGTTGTATTAATAATTCTATATCCGTAAATAAACCGCAACCTTGTCTATTGCGATCGCTCGTGAAAAGCCGGCATAGCCGGTAACCAGTGAACCGCGTTGAAACACCTCCGCAACGTGGCATTTCTCACCTCGGCGACTACGCTTCTCTCGATTTTCGTCGCTTCGGCTTCCGAAGTGGAAACGCGCTCGAAGCGAGGTCAAACGGAAGAATACACGAGAGACGAAGGATCGTGGTTCTCCGTGGGCGAAAAGAATTCAGAACACCGGAAGTCTTGTAGACACTCCTCCGCATGATACCGAAGGATTATATTATCGTCGCGGGGATGGGAAATCGCGCAGTTTCTAAGTATCTAAGTCGTCGCGCGGTTACGACACACACGCGGAATGACGAGAATTCCCATCTGTAGAGTTCGACAACGCGCTCGCATGTTCCTATTTATGGATCTTCTCTGGCATTTATGGCAGTCGCTGGCAAATACGCGCGTCGCGAAATCCTCGAAGCGCGAGATGCTTTATGTACGCGCGTTTCTCTCCCCTTTTTCACTTTGTTTGTCGTACTTCGGATTCTTGAAAGCTCGCCTCTTTTGTGACTTGCCTCGCGTAGCCCTTCCTTCCCCCTCGCTCGACCTCCTCACCCAGGTCGACCTCCGCTCTCATTATCCGACCCGTCGCGACTTATTTGAGTTGATTCGTGCTATCCTGCCACTTCCTGCATTCCGTGTGCATGCCCTTTGATTCTGGTTCGCTGTCCGTTATTCGGAAATACCGGTAGCGCGTTGAGAATTATTTACTTTCATCTTTCTGCTCCCGTTTCGATCATTTACATTATTTACAAGGCTATATTTACCATTTCTTATCATTCTTACCGGATAATAAGCAATCGTTTACAATCTAGCGATTATATACTTGAGTATTATTGCGAATATAAATATTACATGAGGTAAATAAATTTTTAAATCTTATTTATAACTAGACGCGTCTCGGTTGAGTAATATCGACGCCCGGAGCCTAATAAGAAATTTACTCGCCCCCTTTCTCATCGCAACGGCAAGCTCTCATTTCTTCATTCTCCGTCTTTATTCCTAGGTAGAACATTCCCTTCCTTTTATGCATCGTCTAATTCAGCACTTGGACTTCGTTTTTCCCTCTCGTCGTTCTTCCCTTTCGCACCGCGCCACCACGTCTCTCATCATTTCCCGTCCCCTTCTCATTTTCTCAAGACTCAGCGCGGCCTCCGCGCGTCTCTCGGTCCCGCTTCCTACTCGTTCTCATTTTCATCCCTCTCTCGCGCTCGCAGAATTTCGCGGCTCCTCGTGAACCCACGTGGTACAAGGCGTATAGCATAATAACGAGCCATGAACAGCGCAACG